CCCCAGGAGGCCTCTCAAATCTGCCTCCACTTTTCCACGCAGCTCCCTGTCCAGCCTGTGGCTTCACCACCACCCACTGTCTGCTGTTCAGTGGGTCCGCAGGCCCTCTGTTCCCCACCACCCCCAACCTTCCTCACCCGAGTAAAGCAGGAAAGCAAGTCGTGGAAGTCCAGCTGCAGCTGGTTGCCCAGCCCAGGCAGGGGCATGGGGCCTGGTGGGTAGCGTGGGGCCCAGCGTTGGCGTCGGTGCATCAGGTCCACCAGGAGCAGGAAGATGGCCAGGGCCACGGCCAAGGGCCCCAGTGTCTCCCCGGTCAGCAGCCCCATGGCTGCCTCGGTGGGCACTGGGCTCCTCTGGACACACTGGCACCCCTCACCACACCAGGACCTAGGACCAGGGCAGGCAGGGCACTCTCACCAACCCTGAGGGTTTGACCAGCCTGGGTCTCTTTATAATAGGAGCTGAGACTGGCCTTTGCCCTCTACACTGAACCTACCTGTTGAGATGACTTTGCTACCACAGGGTGCAGGGAGGGGCCAGGGAAGTTCTGTTGCAGGTGTGGCACAGAATTCCTGTGCCTGCTGCCCTCTCCAGTTGCTTATTCTGGGTGGGGGGTAGAGAAAAGGGAAGTCCCCACCCCCAGCCTGACTCCCCACCATTTTACAAATCCGAGGAAGCACCAGGGGTCTTCGGACTTGATCCTGCCCCCACCTGTCATATCAGGCTCACACTCCCTAATGTGGTCACAGCCTCATCCCCAGAACACATTCTTGCCTTCTCATGTCTCACCTGCCTCCTCCTGAGTGACCTTCACCTCCCAGGTTTGTACTGGCACTCTCAAGGAGGTCACTATGCTCAGAGGGATGAGGGGAGCGGGAGTGGGAGGAGGGATGAAGTTCTCCGTGTCGCTCATTTCACACTAGTACACTCAGTACGCACAGACACAGATCACACACACATTTAGACACTACCCACCTACTCACAGACTGACACACAGCACATGCACACACACCTTTACCCACACACAAAACCACATACACACACATTCATACATGTACCGCATACACACACTAACACACACACACACACACACACGCAGACCCAGCACCAGGGCCCCTGTTCCCAGTGGTTGCCTGGAAGTGACCTCCCCCTCCCCTTCCCTGGAGGCTACAGGCAGTGATGCTGAGGACCCTCACGGGGCTGGCGCCTGACTCAGTTTCCTCAGTTTCCACCTAGTTGTGGCTGACCCACCTTTGAATCTGCGTGGGGAGGCAGCAGGGTTGTTCTGAGAGCTCCCAAGTGACACAACAACCAGTTAAAAGACCAGGAGACCCTTCCTAAGTGTGTTACAAACTGGGCCTTTGACCTCCTGGCTCTTGAGGCCACCCAGGTGATGAATCTCCTCATGCCTGTGTCCACTTTCCTGTCTTGGAGAAATGTGGGGTGGGCACTCGCCCCTGTTGACTGACCTGCGAGGAAGCTCAGAGTACTAGGGTGCCTTAGCATAGGATGTGACTCTGTCCCCAGAGGAGGGGGCCTGCTTCCTCCTCCTCATTGTCATTTATCCTTGAACATCAGCTGCTCAAACTCTTTCTAGAAGACAAGGGGATGGAAACAAAGTGGGGACAACATAATTTCTTTACACCCCAACAGGCCTGCTGAGGACCACAAGGAATGGATTCTCGGGCCTCCCCCTTTGCTGGCCTCCTCCCTCTCCCTGGGCCAGGTCCCCCCTGCTCCAGCCCCATCCCTTCCACCCTGACTCTCTGGTCCCTCAAGGAAAGATGCAAACCTCAGCATCACCCCACGCTGGGGCGTGCCACTGTCTGGCTGGAATTATGACTACCAGGCCCTCCCTGTTACTCAGCCTCTCACTCAGCCTCCACGCAGGGGAGGCAACACACCATGCCAGGGCAGGATCGGTGCCACTGACCTCAGACTCTCCTCCTTCAACACGTTAATTGGTGGCATTTGAGGCTGAGTTTTTAAATCAGTGAAGCTGATGAGGACTCTGAGCCCAAAACCGACTCATATGGGAAGGGGCAGGAGCCCAGAGGGTGGGGAAGGGGCATTCCCTGGGTAGGGGTCAGGCCCCCTCACCCAGCCCAGGGGTATGTGAAATAAGCTCTCATCCTGGAAACAGCTGGAGTATTCTCTCCCCAGCTGAAGCAGGGCCTGCAGGAGGCACTCCCCACCCCTGTGTCCTGCAATTCTTTCCCTCTCTCACTCCCCAACAGTAAGAGGACCAGCTTCTTCCCAGGGTGCCTCTGGACATCCCCCACTCAGAGATGGCCACCCAGAGATGCCTTCCACGTGCCGTGGGCTCTTGGTATTGGTTTTCAAGATTTGCAATTCCTGCTTGACTGTGAAAGCTGCTCCTCCCCTTCTGAATTCCCACATCCCCACTCTCCTGCCAGACCTGGGGCCAGAGGGTGTAGGGTGCTGGGGCCCAATGGGCCTTCCTCGGTTTACCCAGCATTCCCTGCATTGTTCCTTGCTCAGGCCTTGACTTCTGCTCCACCTCCGCTGGAAAGACCATGTGCTGGGTGCTGGGCTGGGCACTCGCAGCCTGGCTGGAAGAGGATGGCGGGCCCCTCCTCCGAGGGGCTCATCACCAAGGGGAGGAGGGGGAAGACAGAGAGCTGACAGGCCCAGCTAGCAGTGCGGGGACTGCTTTGAGAGTGGTGGGGACACTGCCTCAGGCTGGAGCTGGTCTTTCTGGGGTGACTTCCTGGAGGACTTTGGCTGGCCTGGCACTGCAAGCCAAGATTACCTGGCAATGGGACCAAAGGGGCACTGCAAAGTCCTGTGCAGGAGGGTGAGGAGCAGAGGGAGGGAGGCAGCTTTGCATATCTGGCCGAGGACTGGGCTGGAGGCAGCTGGGGTCTCTGGTCCTCCAGGAGGCAGGAAGACTAGCTTGGAGGCCACTCAACAGACCAGGAGAGTAAGACTCATGGGCACGGTGGGGACTTTCCAGATCCAGCCTGTGGCCTCTCATTGCCCTCAGTTGAATGTCCTGTTCTGTGGGCAGCAACTCTACCCAGGACTGTCAGAGAATCAGGTGGTGTCAGCAGGGGGCAGGGTGGTACAAGTGTTGGTCACACAGTGGCCCTGGATAAAGTATCTTTATCCACCCTTGTTTTGGATGTGTCAGGCCCTCCCAAGCAGTCACTCTAATGAGGATATGAAGGGCAGGGACAGACACGCCTGTAATTCAGGCAGACCCCCCCACCCCCAGCCCCGATACTAGGGGCGTGTTCTCCAGGACCAGGGGCCTTGAGGAAACCTCGTGAGTACAATGAGCACACAGTAAAATCGTCAGGCTGATGGCCTGCTGCAATCATTGTGCAATTGCAGCTTCCATTGATCAGGGACTCGCGTGCCAGGCACTGCTGCTCACTCCACGTGTCCTTCCCACAGCCCTGTAGGGCAGGGGGCTTCAGGGTCCCCAAGGCATGGAGGAGACTGAGTCTCAGGGGACATGTCAGGAGGTCAACGTCAAAGAGCAGCATTCGGGTCCATCTCAAAAGTCATGCTCTGAGCTATTGCTCTACATGTAAGTTACTGAGATTTCTCATTTAGAAACACACTCAGCCCACCCTCGCTGGGCTTCTGCTCTGGTGAAGCTGCTGGAGTGGAGGGGTGAGCGTCCCCACGGACCGCGGGTGTCACAAGTGTTCACCGAGCAAGGACGGTCCTCTAGACACTGTGGCCTGAGAGTTAGACTCCAGGGGTGACCTCAACACGATGGCGGACCAGGAAGTGCCCGTCCCTGAGTCCCCAACGCATGCGGGGCAAACCCTAGGAGAGAGCTCTAGAAAGCAGGTAGGGAGCTGGAGCCCCAGCCAGTGACCTGGGAAAGTTGGTGGCATTTTGCTCGCCTTGCCCGCCCCGGCGCCCCCGCCCCCACCCCCACCCGCGGTGTGCAGCGCCCGCGGAGGAAATCCCGCAATTCCTGCTCCTCCCTGGGGACAGAAAGGAAGAGTGGAAGCTGCGTGCAGCTTGTGGGGCCGCGGGCCTGACCGCCTCACCTGACTCGCAGTGCGGACCCGCCCAGCGCAGCGCTAGGATCCAGGGGGAGGCCCCGGCAGGGCGGCCGCGGCTGCAGTTCCGTACGCGGGCGCCGGGGGGCGCAGGAGGCAGCAGCCGAGGAGGGAACACGAGAGGGAGGGGGAGCTGGGCAGGGCCCGCCTCCCAGAGATGGTCCGTGGGAATGGGCTTCGGCATTTACCCTCACGCTCACACGTGCAGACACACACAGACACACAAACTCACCATACACACAAAGAACCACGACACAGAAATTTATTCACGCACAGAACCACCCACACTCAGACAAAACACACACTTCAACTCAACGTGCACAAATTCTCTCACACACACACACACACACACACACACACCCAGCACCAAGTACCCTGGCTCTCAGCGAGGCCCCTGGATGTCTGGGCGGGACCTCTTCTGGTGGAGGCTGCGCCCTGCATGGCTCAGGGTCCTCACCTGGCCTGCAGCACAGTCCTGATTGCTAGGTGGTGGTGTAGGTGTGGCAAGTTTAAATCTGGGTGTTGGGGATTTAAAGTTACCCTGACCGGACAACTGGTGGAGCCCAGAGGCTCTTTCCCAAGCTTGTGACATCCACCAGTCACTTCCTGAGGGATATTATTATCCCTCCGCTTTCTGGCCTTAATGGCTAGAAAGAAATCTGACTAGAAATATGATGTCAATGTTATTGACGACGGATCCTTTGTCCCTGATTGAGGAGCATCTCACATCTTTCTTGCTGCTTTCAAAGCAAGAAAGCAGCTTTCTTTGTCTTTTGATGGTTTTCTTGTGATGTGTGTAGGTGTAGGTCTCTGATTTTATCCTACTTGGAGTTCACTGAGCTTCTTGGATGTATAGATTAATGTTTTTCATCAAATTTTGGGAGTATTCCATTTTCAATATTGCTTCAAATATTCCTTCTAGTCCTTTATCTCTCTCTTCTTCTCTTAGGACTCCCGTTAACGTGTGTGTGGTATCCTTGATGGTGCCCCACAGGTTTCTGAATCTCTGCTCATTCTTCTTCATCCTTGTTTCTGTTCCTCGGCCTGGATCAGCTCAGCTGACTGTCCTCATGTTCACTGATTTTTCTTCTTCCTGTTCAAATCTGCTCTTGAGTTCCTGCAGTGAACTTCCATATCTGTTATTATACTGTTCATATCCAGAATTTCTACCTAGGTCCTTTTTATGATTTCTATCTCTCACATATTCTTTATTGGTGAGAGATCATTTTCCTACTCTCCTTTAGTTCTTTAGACATGGTTTCTCTTAGTCCTGTGAACATACTGAATTAGCTGATATGCAGTCTTTGTCC